CTATTTTTAATCTACATTTATAAGGCAGAATTTTTTCAGCATATTGATATTTTTTTATTTTTATTTATACTAATAGTTGTTGTTTAATAAGTAGTATACCGTTACTGTCCCGCCTTGCTGGGTGTCCCGCCTTGGTGGTGCCGACCTGGCTGCGCCAGGTCGGGATTTTTTACAAATTAAATTCAAGGTAACCGACGATTATCTCTTCTTATCTTATTCAACCTATATTATAAAAAAAAAAAAAAAAGGAGAAGAAAGAAAGCTGCAAGAATACCGACCGAATAAAAGGAATTAACAATATCGGAAGCAAGAACTCGGTCGGTCGAAAGGACGCGATGTTCGGAGCTAGTGCGTGCGGCTTTGGCGGCAATAAGTACGATTATACTTTATACAAGGAATTGCTGCCTTTTTTTTTAAAAAATAAATTAAATAGAGATAGTATTAAAAATATAAGTAGAAGTAAAAATTTGATGTTTATATTGCGTGTTAATATGTATATGCTTATATCTTGTGTATGCAAAGTATAATTACATGTAGTACTGTACAATAAGTAGCTTGCACGAGCTATCAATCCGAGTTCTTAACTCCAAGTCCTTAACTCCGATCGCGCTATATCCAATTACGCTATCTAAAACCGTGCGCCACCAAAGCAAGCAAGCAAGCAAGCTGTCGGCTGCTCTCAGCTTTAGAAAGCAGCTCGAAATAATACAGCGGATGCTGCGATCTCTAGCGCTTTTTTTCTATAAATAAAATAAATCACAAGACAAAGAAACTTTTCGTCGAAAAGAATTCTTATAGCATAGCTAGCATTGATTCTCAGCTAAGAAAGGAAGAAGTAAATGTGAACTTGCGAAGTTGGCTGATAGGCGCTTTAGAGCTGGGATGGGTAGCATGATTGTTAGCTAAGTAAGAAGCTAGGAAGCTGCAAGCCTGGGATTGGATTAGATTACCGTGCTAAATAAGCGAAGAACGCGAAAATCGGTCGGATTTTCAAGAAAATACGTTGGAAATATACGTGCGTTATTATTAGATTTTATTAAATAATTATTTTCTTATGCGTTATAATAAATGAAATGATCTCTTATCGATCTATAAGACGCTTTTTAGAATCGAAGTGCTAGTTGTTGAAGTATCCGTAGCGGATAAATAGAATTTGATCATTTGGGATAGTTTTCAGCTATTCGAGATATTCTCGTTACGTTATTATATGATCTTTCCACTTGGGCTGAGTAGATGCATCTTTATTTTTGTGATTCACATTTGTAAAGCGATGTTTTTTAAGCATATAGACATTTTTTTTATTATGTTTTTATTAATAGTTGTTATGCAATAGTGATTTAAAAAAGTGTCCTGGGTCGCTAAGTACTCGTGGTCGAAAGGTGTCCCGGGCCAGTGATGCCGACTTGCTAGCATATCGATCATTTTTTCCGAATGAAATTAAAGTAATCGTTTAAGCTGCTTTTTCTTATTCTTTTACATCATACATAAATAAAAGAGAATTAGCTTGAATAATTAACTAGCGATCAACTCGTCGGTTTTTAAATTATTTGTTTGAAAAACCTTCGCCCCACCCTCGACCTGGCGCAGCCAAATCGGAACCATTAACTCCGATATACAACCATTAACTCCGATGTACAACTAATTCCGACACAGCGGGAGTAATAATTAATGCGCTGACTTCTATTTGCGAGCTCTCGATAATATCAAGATAATTAAATCTGCACGAATAATAAATAAATATAATAATAGTGTTAAGCATACGAATACTTTTTTTTATTATATTTATATTAATAGTTGTTTTGTTATAAATAATCTACGTACTTCCGCTGTATCGGAGTTGCTTGCATATCGGAATTAGTATCGGCTGAGCTGCGCTAGATCGAAATATTCTCAAGCAACCAACGAATAATGATTCCGATTTAGCTGCGAGATAATAATTAAAGATGGAATAAAAGCAAAGTAATCATTATTGTTCTAGGAAGCTCAGAGCAACGTAAGGCTATCGGTATATACCTCTCTCAAATAGTCTATGCCACTTTATAGTAGCCAGGTAGCCTAAGGCCACGACACTGCGCCAAATGAGTAAATGTTCAATTACTAATACATTCAAGCAACCGACGAGAACCCCGACGTAAAGGAAGGACGCAAACGACAATATCTTTCGCTGCAGCACTTTGAATTGCTTTCTAGAGCCTTCTTGTATGTAATTCCTTAGCTTAACACGTCGCCGTACCTTATAAAATGTCCCAGGGCGGCAGGCGTCGCTTAGCACGTCGCCGTACCTATCGTGGGGCTATGCCACGTGACATCATTAGAGCATAGACCAAGTAGCAGAAGAGTCATCTCTTTCCCTAATGATTCCTTTCTTTTAAACAATACAACAACCCTTTCACTTTCATTACTAGTAGTTCAGCTGTACCTTATAAGAAGTCCCAGGGCGGCAAGCGTCGCTTGCTACCCGCCCGACGTAAACAAATACAACAAATACAACAACAACAACAACAACGACGAAACCCCCGAATATCCATCCGAATCCCACATCCTTCATCTCTACAATTATCATCTACAAATCCAAATCTTGCCTACTAGCAAGCCAAAAGCCGACCGACGAAAAAGCGAGCTAAGCTTTCCATCGGCTTGCTTTGCGCCAAGCATAAAAAGGAATGTTGATCAGACATTTCTTTTTATACTTGGGAGGCTTGCTGTAGCTGTCTTTTGGTGTTTTCTAGCTTAGATCTTGACTTTAAGATTTTAAGTCAATGAATGCACATCCTTGCAAGCGACGGACGTGTGCTTGATGACGGAATGCTGTCTTTTTTTCTTGCTTCGGCCGGCGTCGAGGTAATGCTTTCCTTCCTGTCTCAGCCGACGACGAAGTGATGCTATTTTTTTTTTTCTTGCTTCGGCCGGCGTCGAAGTAATGCTGTCTTCTTTTCTTGCTTCGGCCGGCGTCGAAATAATGCTGTCTTCTTTTCTTGCTTCAGCCGGCGTCGAATGTTGTATTTCCTCAGCCGGCGTCGGAGTAATGCTATCTTCCTTCCTTGCTTCAGCCGGCGTCGAATGCTGTATTTCCTCAGCCGGCGTCGGAGTAATGCTATCTTCCTTCTTTGCTTTAGCCGGCGTCGAAGTAATGCTTTCCTTTCTGTTTCAGCCGACGACGAAGTAATGCTGTCTTCCCTTCCTGCTTCAGCCGGCGTCGAGGTGATGCTAGATGTGTTTTGGCGAAGATAAGAAAGAAATAAACGAAACGCGCTTTTGCTAATCGGAGTAGCGAAAAACGCATTCTGCTTGCTTCGCTTATTTGGTTCTGGTATTGTTGTTTTGAATAGAAATAAAGGTGGAAGATTGCGTTTTGATATGCAAGTTTGGATTGTTGTTTGTTATTGTCTTGTTGATTTGCTAGCCGTATCGCAATCTTAGCTCGGAAATGATTTCACTAGCCAGCCTTTGACCCAAGCTATACAAAGGTCAGCTATATTCAGAATAAGCTGCCCGAGACCTTATCTAAGGGACGTACATGATAAGATCAATCGGGAGTCTTTTTTTTTTTTCGCGGCTGCCGCAAGAAAGGGGCATCATAATACGCGAGAATGCAAGCTAGCCGTAAGGCTATCGTCTGATTGTTGATGCAACAGCCAACCTTTAATCTAAGCTATATAAAGTCAGTTATATTTAAAATAAACCGCCTCTTATAAGGAACTTACTTGATGAGACCAATCGGAAGTCTCTTTTTTTTTCCGCGGCTGCCGCAAAAAGGGGGCATCATAACACGCGAGAATGCAGGCTAGCCATAAGGCCATCGTCTGATTATTGATGCAATAGCCAACCTCTGATCTAAGCTATACAAAGTCAATTATATTTATAATAAGCCGTCCGGGACCTTATAAAAAGAACGTACTTGATAGGATCAATAGAAAAAAAATTCCCGTTTTTTTTTCGGCCGCCGCAAGACAAAGACATAATAAGCGAGGTCGTAGGCCATCGTCTGATTACTAATGCAACGGCCAACGTCTAATCCAAGCTGTATAAAAGTCAGCTATATTCAAAATCAGCCGTCCTTCATAAGGAACGTACTTGATAAGATCAATTATGATAATATAATTTTTTTTTTTTTTTTTGGCTCCCGCAAATAAGGACATCGTAATAAGCGAGGATGCAGGCTAGCCCTCGATTGAATATTGATGCAACAACCAACCCCTGATCCAAGCTATATAAAAGTCAGCTACACTCAAACTAAGCCGTCCGGGATCTCGTAAAAGGAACGTACTTAATAGCATCAATCGAAGG